GGTTCAATCCCCCAGCACCACATGCCAGCCAGCCCCGCCCCCTGGTGGGCTGAGCTGCCCCCCCCCCAAATAAATGTTAAAAAAAATAAAGCGTATTGGTTAAAAGTACAGGTAATCATACCTGGATCACATCATGCTCAGGGACTTTGGATGCACACATGCCTCTCTGAGTATTTCTTATTTAGAGAAGGGTCACTAACCCCTGCTTCCAGGGGTGATACTAAATCGAGATAGTGAAAGCCCAGGGACAGGGCTAGAGGTGCTCCTTTATTAGCTTCTGAGGTGGACATAGCTCAATAATACAGGCTCACCTAGCTTGTGTAGGGCCATGGGTTTGATCCCCAGGGCCACAAAATGAAAGTAGACCTAGTCAGGCATGGTAGTGCATGCCTGTAATCCCAGCACTCGGGAGGCTGAGGCAGGAGGATTGCTGTGAGTTTGAGGCCAGCCTGTACTACATAGCAAAACTCTGTCTCAAAAAAAACCAATGAGGGCTGGGGAGATAGCACCTGTCTGGCAAGCACAAGGTCCTGAGTTTGATCCCCCAGTACTACATGCTGTGCTGGTCCTAAAACCGGACATGGTGGATGGAGCATGTCTTTAGGATCACTACAAGGCTGAACTGCATAGCGAGACCCTGTATCAAATAAATGACTGACTGAATGAATAACAACAACAAAAAAAAACCCAAGGTAAATATTTAGTGGATTTTTTTTCTTCTTTTTCTTTTTTTTTTTTTTTTTTTTTAAGGGAAGCATCTACAGGGTATTTAGGATCTCACTACTAGATCAGACTCATAGTGAACTGCCAGGTTGCAGCCTCCCTACAGCTGGGATTACAGGTGTGTGCCACCACACCCAGTCTCAATTGCTATCTCAGCGTGTCCCAGGGTGGGGCCAGCATGGCAGGCCTGGGGATCGAAGCCCCAGCCCCAATTCACTGAGCTCTTCAGCTGGTCCTAGTGGACCTTTTGGTTTGTTTTTTCACTATTGGGTTACAGCCATGAGTGTGGTTTGTAATAAGAATTGTGTGTAGGACTTTTGATTTGTGGATGAAGTTTCTTCATAGTCCTGTCAAATAACTTCTGATATTCCCCTCCCCCTCCCAGGTGTCATAGTTTCTACAGCAAACGCTACTCTCGGGCTCTCTACTTAGGAGCCAAGGCCATTCAGCTGAATAGTAACAGCGTTCAAGCCTTGCTACTTAAAGGAGCAGCGCTTAGGAATATGGGCAGAGTCCAAGAAGCAATAATCCATTTCCGAGAGGCCATAAGACTTGCACCTTGTCGCTTAGATTGTTATGAAGGTAAGTGAGTAGTGTGACTCTGTAGGCCAGACCACTGGACTCAGGAGGAAAGTTTCATGCTAGAATCGCCTGGGGAAGCTTTGCAACCAGCAAGCTACCAGGTAACTGGGCAGAGATGAAGCGTAGGGAGCACTGCTGGTTTTTGAAGATCCCGGTTAGTGCCATTGTGCAGATGTTTGGGAATTACTGCATTAGGTATTTTATATTTAGTTAGGGCTTGCATTAGAATTTTCACCCTGTTGTTTTTAGGATCTATTTTTCTTCCAGTTTGTTTTTTGTTTGAAACTGGTTCTTGCTATGTTGTCTAGGTTGGCCTTGAGTACACTGTTTAGCCCAGGATGGCCTTGAACTTTGAGTGACCTTTTTGCCTCAGCTTCCCAACTGCTGGGGTTATGGTGATGTGCCACTATACCTGGCATACTTTTCTTTTCTTCTTTTTTTTTTTTTAATGTATTTGTTACAGGGTTTCACTGTGGCAGCTCAGACTCAGTGATCCTCCTGTTTTCAACCTCCTTAGTGCTGGGATTATAGGTCTGCGGACTTTGTGGCTGGCTCAGCACACCCAGGGCGGCCCCGGTGCAGAACTGTGGACACAGCCCTTCTCTTTTTTCTTTTTTTTTTTTGCGGAACCGGGGATTGAACTCAGGCCCTTGCGCTTGCCGAGGAAGCACTTATTCCACAGAGCCATCTCCTCAGCCCCTTCTTTTCTTTTGTGTAACTTTTGGTACTAGGAATTGAACTCCCGATCTCACACTTGCCAGGCAGGTGCTGTGTCACTGAGCTATATCCCCAGCCCTTTGGTGAGGGAATAGTTGGGATAGGTACTATAGGTACTTTTTTTTTTTTTTTTTTTTTTCACTTCAGTTATGGGCAGGTGATTAATGAGAACCTGTCAGGCACTGTGCTAGATTGCTTGGTTTTGTCTTTGTTCTTTTTCACAATTGTCTTTTTGGATGAGAGCTAATTAATCAAAGGTTAATTGCACATCCAGAGGCACTGTGGACTGTGGGAACCAGGCTGTCCCTTGTGACCTCAGGGGTATGACTGGGGTGCAGCCTTGTTTAGTTATGTAATGTTTCAAGTTCATGTGAAGTGACCCTAGGAGTTCAAAGGAGCTATGCCAGCTTCAGCAACATTTGGTGACTCAGTCACAGGCATTAAAATAGATTGTACAAGATGCAGTTCCTCTAAAACATATTTTTATAAGAATTTAAAAATAAACCTAGGAAGCTAAGCGTTATTTGCTCTTAACAGGAAGATAAGTTCAAATCTGAGAAAATTTGAATGCTGGAAGAAAGAAGAAATCTGCTTATATAGCCAAAGCACTAGGCCTGTTGTGGGTTTGTACAGGGAGAGAAGATTGTCTTTATTCTGGAAAGAGCTCTAAGGAACCAAGCTTGTGGGGTGAGGTGAACTTCTTGATCTTAAAACTGTAGCTTGCCTAGCCTCGCAGCAGCACTGATTCTACACACTCCTTTCTGCCACATACCTGTCACCAGAGTCAAGTGCTGGTGGGCAGCTCCACTGCCACAGTGCTTGGTTGAGGGGTGGGGTTTTTTTTTTTTTAACTTTTTCTTAGGGCTATTGAAGCATTTGGGGCAGAGAATGCTCCTCAGGTGGCCAGTGAGGCCTTCTGGGCTGCCTTCTCTGTGGTTGTCCTGTGGAGGTTGGATCAAGATGACTGGTTATGCCCTTCACCACTCTCCAGTAGCACTCCCTGGTGCATACCCTTCATTTGTGAAGTGCAGTGTGTGTGTGTGTGTGTGTGTGTGTGACAGAGAGAGAGAGAGAGAAAGGGTTGTGTGTGTGTGTGTTTGTGTGACAGAGAGAGAGAAAGGGTGTGTATGTGTGTGTGTGTGTTTGTGTTGATAGTGGGGACTGAAGCAAGGCTTTGGTGTGCTAAACATGCCTTCTGCCCCTGGGCTGCACCCTAACCTGAGAAGTGTATTCTTTCAGTTTCCTTCCAAAGTTCCACTGGGGCTTTAGCAGGGAAGTAAAACTACACAAATACTTGTAAACAACTGTACTTAGACTCTCACATGTTCTCCCTAAGAGTTAGGTAATTTCTGGTTAAGTAACTGAAGTGTGTGGAAGAACGTGTGCAAATGTTATAAATGCTGTGAGGATGGAGGAGTATGCAGAGAAAATCTGCCAGGGATTGTGTGGGTTTAGAGTTTAAGCTGTTTTTCTGTTTTGATGAATGTACTGTGCCAAAAAGTTCCCCCTCAGTTCTCAACTTCTTGGCATGAAGAGTTAGGTTGACTTTGTGGGAGTTGATGGTTGGGTACCAGGAATTGAACTTGGGACCTAACGTTTGCCAGGCAGGCACTGTGCCATTGAGCTAAACACCCAGCTCCAAACTTTTTTTTTTGTGTGTGTGGTACCAGGGATCAAACTCAGGACCTTACGCTTGCCGGGCAAGCACTTGTTCCAGTGAGCCATCTCCCTGGCCCCCAAACTGACTTTTTTTGAAGTGACCTTGTAGGGCATTTTGCTGTTGAAATAATGAGAGGTCAGACCTACCAGTCTCAGTGTGTTGGGTCCATCTGATTTAAATGCTTTCCTTCCTGTGCAGGGAAACCCTCAACAAGTGCCTTTGTTATTTTGGATGGAAGCGTCTACTTTTCTTCCTACATGGCTTAATGGTAGTTTCTTTAGTTTGTAGAGTTAGACGTTTACTTTTGGGACTCCTTGACCTTACAGGTGACTGGCACAGCCAGAAGTAATGGCGCAAGAGGCAGTGGAACCTTGGTTTCCGTCATCTCGCTGCTGTAATCTGGCCATGTGGCAGAGTAATGATTAATGTCACATTTGTTCTTTAACATTTAGATGGACTGCCCACAGGCTGCCATTTCCTTCTTGATGGGGGGTGCATTTGCAGGGCAGGTGCTCTGAGGAGGAGTGCTTGCTACTGTGCAGCCAGCACAGCCTCCAGTCCAATGTCACCATGTGTCCTCCCTGGCCTGCCCTTGGTCTGCTGTCTTGAAGGTTTGCCACTGGGAACACTCTCAGTGTAGAGGCATGCATTGGGTGGTATTGTGACTTAAATTGCTGTGTTGATTTTTTTCAGGTCTCATTGAGTGTTACTTAGCCTCTAACAGTATCCGAGAAGCGATGGTAATGGCGAACAATGTTTACAAAACTCTAGGTGCCAACGCACAGACTCTTACTCTTCTAGCCACTGTTTGTCTTGAAGACCCAGTCACACAAGAGAAAGCCAAAACTCTGTTAGATAAAGCCCTCACCCAGAGGCCGGACTACATTAAGGCTGTGGTGAAAAAAGCAGAACTACTTAGTAAGTATCTAATTTTCTGCCCTGTTCATTATTTATAAAATCGAATCTCAGTTGAACTTCTGGCCCCCGCTGGTTACACATGACTAGACAAGTGTATGTCTTTTATAGCGTGTCTGGGACTACTAAAGTTGGCTTGTATTTAGCACAGCCAAAATGTAGCTGGCTAGACCTGCTTGAACTAGGTAAAACCAGCTAAAATTGATATGTTCTTATTCACCTCTCTTTGTCTGGTTTTAGTTGTTCTAAACTAGTGTAGCTAACTAGTTTTAGCTAGCTTCAACTGTTTTTGAGCTATCTAGATTTTCTAAACACATTTTAAAAAATTTTATTTTATTTTATTTATTTATTTTTTTAAATTTTTTTTTAATTTATTTGTGTGTGTGTGTGTGTGT